GGCATGGCCCAACACGGCCCATATATACTATTTATATATATTATATATATTTATATATATAATATATTATATAAATTATTATTATATAATAATATATAGTATATAGTATATTAATAAAATAAACAAATTTTTCAATTTTATTATACTAATTTATTTAATTATTGTATATATAAGCAATTGTATACATCAAAATTCATATAAAATTAAAATTTTAATTTTATTTTTTAAATTTTTTAAAATTTTTAAATAAATAGGCAAAAATAGCTTTGGCCCGGTCCATGGCCCGACTTGGGCCAAGGCTTGGTCCACAGGCCAGCCCGGCCCGTGGCATCGCACGGCCCCCGTGGGCTTGGGCCGTGGGCCGTGCCGGGCCAACCCCCAAAATTTTCACCGGGGAGGGCGGCACGGCCCGTGATGGCCCGCGGGCCAGCATGGCACAGCTTGCACTTTGCACGGGCTGCCTGCTTTACACCTCTATTTATGGGGTGGAGAAAGCAAAATAATTGGGTATTGAAAGACTGATTATTGAAGGGGACTTCAGAACAATTATGACTTGGCCGAAAAAGGTAGAAGGAATAACTTGGAATTTAAGGAATGATTATAGAAAGTTCAAATGGCTATCTAAAGAAATGATGATTCAAGTCAATTGGGTTTGAAGATCTACAAACTGTTTGGTAGATGGGCTAGCTAAGCATGGGGTTCAGAAACAGTCTATGTATTCATCTCACTTGTAATTTTCTGGGTTAAATATGCCCTCTTGAGTCTGTTATATCTTTTCACAACTTCTTCTTGTACTTCTTTTATCTAATTTTAATGAAATTTGACCACCAGTTTCCAGGTCAAATGGATCAACCTGTTACAATATTAAATATTAAAATATAAATTTGACCACAACTTCTTGTTGCTGATCGAGTCGATGTTTTTTTTTGGAAAATTCCAGGCTAGGTGGAAAACGGAACCGCTGAGGTGACAATATTAAATATAAAATTGACCTGGAAACCGGTTCCCAGGCTAGGTGGAAACTTCTAGGTCGAATGGATCAACCCGTTACAATATTAAATATTAAAATATAAAATTGACCTGGAAACTGGTTCCCAGGTTGAATGTTTCAGCTGTTCAACTGTCCGGGTCAGAAGTTTGCTGATCGAGTCAATGTTTTTTCGGAAAATTCCGGGCTAGGTGGAAAATGGAACGGCTGAGGTGACCGTTTCATGGGTCAAACTGTTTGACTGCCTAGATCAATGATGTTTTGAAAACCATGGTTGGGACAAGGCTTAGTTCAGTTGGGTTTAGTAGCTTCAACCTGTATATAGTGTCAACAATAGTTATTTTCTTGTGCATTGATATTCAAACTAGGAATTATATTAGATATCAATCATATGGGTATCATGGCCAGTTACATGTGAACTGGAATTCCCTCCTGAATATAACATGGTTTATGTTCACTGGAATACTATTACAAGGTTGACCTCTATATGGTTGTTTCTAGAACATTGGAGCTGATATCTAGAAGGCCTTTAAGCTATATAAGCCTGTATAATTAGGTCTGATGGTACTTGCATTTAGGAACATGCATGCTGAAGTGGGAATAAGAGATATAGTGGCTGACTGAGATGGTCCAGTAATACCAGCTTCACTTTCCAACTAGGTCAAAACAACTTTGACTGCAGCTAAAGCATCTAGAGAAGTGGATCTAGTTGTTGAAGAAGGTGGAGCATCTGTAGTAATGACCAGGTTGGCATTTCCCTTCTTATTCTTGAGCCTTGCTGGAATAAGGTGAGGATGTAGCCTCCAACAAGTGTTCCTAGTGTGCTTCAGCTTCTTATAGTAATTACATAACACCTCCCTCTTCTCTTCATTCTTCATATTCTTCTCCTTATTACCACCAAGCTTAGGCTTTACAGCAACTAAGGTTGATTCCATGGGTGGAATCTGTAACATAACCTTCCTCCAACTTTTCTCACTGTGTAGGGAATAAGCCTGAGATAAAGTGAGTCTGTCTATAGCAAATAGTTGCTTCTTACAATGTCATATTTCTAAATTCAGTCCAACTTCCTATATGTTGTTGCATCCTTTTTACTTTCCCACTCAATTGTCTCCAAATGATCAATTTCATGCCATAATGATTTCAAGGTAGAGGAGTAAAGAAATACTGGTTTCTCCTCCTGCTTAATATAATTCACTTGATTCTTCAACTCATAATCTCTAGCAACATTAAGAGGTTGAGAGTAAGACTCCTTCAGTAGAAATCTGCTGAATTAAAAAAAAATGAAAGAAAAAAGTATTTTCTTGAAGAGAGAGGGAAGAGAGAAGAAGAAGAGAAGAAGAGATCTTGTAAAGAAAGAGAGCCAATGATCTGGTCGCCCCCTTCACTTAATATTTATATTAGAAATATAAGAGGAGTACAAAGACTACTATGCCCTTATAGGGCAAAGGCATATAAAAGACTCAAATAAATAATAAAATTTGGACTCTCACCACTGCTGTGGTCCTCACTTCCTATCTAACAATTAACATAAAACAGCTACTCTTAAAATAACACAAAACTGACTAATCTTCAACAAGAGTAAGTCTTCTTCATGTTCTCCCAAATCACCTTAGCAATTTTCATCCATAGTTTTTTTTTTGATCAATAACAAAAGATTTCATTAAATAGTATTAAGTATACAAAGGGAAGAGATAACCTCTCTTATCTCCCCAACAAGAAACAAACAGAGTAAAAACATTATAGTTGAGCCCAAAACAAACTAACAAAGTACCCATAGATAATTCCTACTGATATGTGGCTGCATAGAATTACATAGCCAAGTCATTACCAAATAGTTTTCTTGAACCCATTTGGCATGAGATGCATCTTCCTTGGCTGGTTTCCTTGTGTCTCTAGTCACATATCCTAGTTTTCCCCTTCCTCCACTGGCCATCATGGCCGATTGAGACCATTCCAAATAATTTGTGCCATCAAGTTTAACAGTAGTGATCTGAAAAGAGTTGTTTGACACATTTTTAGCCCCCATAGATCCTTCCCCACGTGATTTCATTTCATTCCCTACCATCTTCATGCTAAACACAACACTAAAGCTTCAAATTCCTAAAGGGAAAAGACCTAGAAACACACCTTACAAGGCTAAAAAAATTCTGTACAGTCACCAAACACTTGCAACAGTCCTCCAATAACTCTAAGAATCACAAAAAGGACTAAAAAGAAAGGACTGATCACTCTCCAGTGAAAAACCCTTGAATCAGCCCTGGAGAAAGATAATTTCTATCAGCCGTTCCCTCCTGTTAGTTCTAAAGGACTCCTGTAAGCGGTCGATTTGCAGAGAGATTAATTTTCTACCCAGAAAACATTGCGCGCCACTTCCAATTGAAGGTTTAACCCCTAAACCTTGAATCGTCTTGAATTCTCTGATTCTTCTTGGTTACCAGGCAATCTCCAAGACCACAAACACCTTGGGCAACAACTGCCAATTGGACTCTCCAATAACCTCCAAGAATCAGGCAACAACTGCTGAAAACTCCAGCCCTAGAAAGATCTCATGTAGTTGGCTAGATCAAGTCCACATGAGACCCCTACTCAAACTTAAACCTAGTGTTTTAAAAGTGCAAGGGCCAATTTGCACTTGGGGTGCAAGGCGAGGCATGTGCCTTTTCGAAGCAAGGCATAAAATACAAAAAATGCCAAAAAGATTCAAAAAGCCAAAAATTTCAAATGAAAATGCAAAAAAAAAAACATAATATTGATAAAAATATAAGCTTAAATTAAAAAAAAATATTATTTAAAACTTAAATGTATAAACATAACATGTAAGATGTATTCAAATGAAAATTTAAAAACAAAAGCAAACATATAAAACATTTTCAAGCATGTAAAACTCACAATTTCTTTTTTCCTCAATTGCATTACTTCAAATAGCTAATGTGAGGTAAAACATCTTGCATTCTTGATTCTACGAGCCACCTTTGGACCAAGCCCCTTGAGGCAAGCCCAAACAAGTCCATGTTAGGGTCTTAAATTCTTAATCTTTACACGAAAAAATGATTTTATAATTTTAATTACCTTTTAAGAAGATACTTTACTAGGATGAATGAACGAACAAAATTACCAAATAGGGGGTTTAAGACCCTGTCATGGACTTGTTTGCGCTTGCCTCGAGGGGCTTGGTTTGTGGTCCAACCCGGTCCAGCCGCTAGGTTCGAAAAAGAACAAAAAGTGCAAAAAATAAAAAAGGCGCATGCCTAGGCTGAAGTGCAAGGCACACCAGGCACACTAGGCGCATGCCTTTTGAAAGTGCTGCACCTAGGGCCTAGGTGAGGCACATACCTTAAAATGCACCTCACCTGAGTGCCTAGGTGTGCCTCAGGCAGACCTTTAGATCACTGCCTAGACCTCAGGTTTAGATCAGGTTCCAGCAAGAAAAATAAAAGAAAAGAAGTAAAAGAGAGCAAAAGAAAGGGAGAAGAGAGAACTCAGAGAAATGAAGAAACAAGGTGCGGATTTCTTATGTGCCGCCCCATCCACTGCTATTTATATGAGTAAAAATAAACCAATGTACAATGACCATAATACCTGCGCGGCCTAAAGAATAAAAGAAAAACAGCAATAACAGTAGTAAAAAGCCACAAAAAACAATATGGGACCACTAAAAATTAATTCTGATCTGCTGTATCTCTACAGTAATAAATGATTTAAGCACTACTAATTTAACAATGGATATGACATTAAACAGAACGAAATGGCAAAACAGGATTCATGTAGCTGACCCCATATAGTTCGGATAAGGCTTGGTAGATGATGATGATTGTTTTATTTGTTTTTTTGTTCAATAAGAGAACAGTTGTTTTATTTCTTTTTATAAGGATATCAGTTCAAGTTACTCCTATTCTTTATATGTAGGCAGAGTTGTTTTTTATCTTTTGGTTTATGGGATTTAAAAACTTAGATTTTACAAGGATTCAAAAATAAAATTTTGATATTTCTATATCTCATGTTTATTTATAGGTCCAAAGGCCTGAGATAGAACCTATAATCTACCGAGATCTTTTCCTATTTCGTACTCTTGCCTCATTCTTGAATGGCATCAGTCTGCAGAAGCTGGGGTGCAATGCAGAGCTTATTGTTGATGAGTTCGGTGAGAAGCTTTTGGAGGAACTCGATTATACTCTGGTAATTCATAAACTTTTCAGTCTCTTGGAGTAAGAGTAATACAGTATTGTAGGAGATGCTATTCATAATAGAAACTAAAGGATAGGACTGCTGCTGGATACATGTGTAAGGGCTACAGCTTTGGCTTGTTGTCCATGTACGCATTACATGCATGCCACTTATTAAGTATAAATTCCTAATAACATGCTGATGAAAATGGTTCCATTGTTATTTTAATCACTTGATAGTATATTGTTTCTATTGTTAACCAGGAGGCTCGAAATATTGAGGATTTCATAGAGAACTTCAAAGATGACCTTACTGTCAAGATTCCTCGGGTTTATAAAAGTCTTTCAGGTCCACGTGTTATAGTAATGGAATGGATTGATGGTATTCGGTGTACTAACCCCCAGGTGAGGATGCCAATATAGGTTATGCCATCTTTCTGTGTGTGTGTGTGTGTGTGTTTTCTTTTCTTTTTCATTCCATATCTTCTTAATCAATGTGATCTGATATTTCTCCTTATGTATTGGACTTGACTTTAATCTATGGATTACTAATTTACTTTTTTTTTGTGTTTTCTTGGGTAATATAGGCTATTAAGGAAGCAGGCATTGATATAAATGGGTTTTTGACAGTTGGGGTTAGTGCTGCTTTACGCCAGTTGCTAGAGTTTGGGTTGTTTCATGGAGATCCACATCCTGGAAATATCTTTGCCATGCGTGATGGTCGTATTGCATATGTTGACTTTGGGAATGTTGCTGTTCTCAGTCAGGTAAATATACGGTTCAAAGATGGCCAAGATGAACACAGTAGATTAGGATCCCTCTTTTTTCCTCTGTTGAATATAGTGATAGATACTTGCATGTATACAACTGTGTTTATATTATTTATAAAAAAACTATGTTTATATTTATTATTGAAACATATGGAGAAGTGCAAAAGCTTTTGCTTGATGCATAATTGGTTTTATGGTATCCATTTCGCTAGCACAAATATGCAGTGAAGACAGACAGTATCACACAACGTATTATGCTGTGCCAAAGGAGTACCAGATGGCATGCTTAGGTGTAGCTGTTATGAGGAAATGCTGGATTTATATATGGAGGATAGCTTTGTTTTATTATTTTTTATTTTTTATAAGATAAAGAATAATATTTCATTAATAATAAAAAGAAAGCCCCTGCACAACAAGAGGCTGTGCAATGAGAGAGTACAAAAATGCCTCTCTGAACTTTATATGATCATTACCAAAAACGGTTTTCATAAACAAAAAGGGACTTATAATCTGTTCATATAGATTCTTTGTGTACCACTAGGTCCACTACCCATGAATATAATTTCCCTACCATCTTTGAATATACTGATTCAGCTAGACCGTTCTTTTGAAATACTCTGTTGTTCCTTTCTTGCAAAATCATCCAAAAGAATGCTGCCGGAACTGTGTTCCATATAACTTTTCCTCTTTTGCTTAAACCTTCCAATCTCCATCCGTTTAAGAAGTCCTCAATGGATGCAGGAAAACACCCTTTGGTGGCAAATATCTTTATAACTATGAACCAAATAGTGTAAGCAAACACACTGAATAAAGATGTGATCAACCGACTTCCCATTGCTCTTCACACAACTCACAATCTGCTCTATCCACTACCATCCCCCTTTTCAACAGGTTGTCCCTAGTTAATTTTATTTTTGAAGATAGGATTGCTATGAAAGAAGGGGGGATCAACTGATTTGGTGTCCAAAATTTAGAAGGCCTCTTCTAGATAAAGAGGTGGAGGAATGTTTGCACCTGCTGGAGAAATTAGAGGAAATGAAGTTATCGCGTCAAACAGGGATGAACTGTGGTGGAAGGAGTGTTCAAATGGGAAGTTCTCTGTCAAATCCTTTTACATGGCAATTGCTAAGGATGATTCAGATCAAGCTTAGATAGATGGTGTTTGGGGAAACCCAATCCCTCCAAGGATTGAGGCTTTTGCATGGCTTGTGCCAATGGACAGTATTCTGACAGTGGATCATCTGAAGTCCAGAGGTTTTTGCATGGCCAATATGTTTTTTCTCTGCAAAGAACAGGAGGAAACTGTTACACATCTTTTTATTCATTGTAAGGCTGCTGGCTTCTTGTGGAGTTTCTTCACCTCATTGTTTGGTGTTAGAGCTAGCCGAATAAGGGTAGATTAGTCATTTTATTTCTGTTAAGTTATGTGTTTATGTGGCAGTTTTAATAGAGACTTCCTGTCCCATACTTAAGTGGGGGGGGGGCAGTTTAGTCTTTGTACAACTAATTAGAGGCTAATTCATATTAGGGTCGACTGATAGGGTTTAAGCTATCAGATTCGACTGTACCTTTTCTTCTTCTTCTTTTTCCTCTGGTTCAAACTGCTGAAGCCACTGAGATAACATGGTATCAGAGCAGGACATTGCTCTTTAAATCTCTACTCGTGACTGCTGCTCCTTTCTGTTCGTGACTTCTTTTTCTTCTCTCTGGACTGTAAATGGAGAACACAGACTTGACCTAGGTTTGAGAACACTTCGGCCTCTCTTTCTCTGCTCAAAACTTGATTGCCTTTCAAGAGAATAACTCCAGAAATAAGTGGATGGTCGACTGAAGCTCTCCATCAAGGTTGGTTATCCTTTTTTTTGTGTTTTTGGTGTTTATGGGTTGGAAAACCCTCAAAAATCTGCTCGGACTGATCAGAACTTAAAGAAGTAGGTTATTTGTAGCCTTGGTTCTTGGCAAAAGGCCCAAGAACAGGCCGTGTTTACAGTGACTGAATGGTGTAAGGGTTACTGTAGTGGTTGTAGTTGATGTCTTTGGACTGGTAGTGACCTTTAAAAAAAAAAGGGTCAGACAGACCTGTACCATGTGGGACAGAGATGGTTGTGTGGTGATGCTTTTGATGCTCACTCTTTATTGAGCAGCCTCAAGAGGGCTTGTATGTGGTTAGTAAATTGCTGAATTACTGTAGTGGTGATTTATGGCTCTATGTAATCAGTAGTGGTGTGAGCAAGAACAAAAGTTATTTTTTTTGGGCTGGAAGGAATGGCTGAATTGCCTACATCAATTTTCTGCCTTGTTGGTGTTGTCTGAATGTTGGTTTACCTTTTGTTCTTAATCTGAATGGTAGTTTGTGCACAGTGGTGACTTGTTGTGAACCTATCACTGCTTAGTGTTGCCTTGGTTGCTGTAGTATTTGGTTGGTGACTGAGAGTTCAGCATTAGAGATAGCAATGGGGGAGACATAATGGCAGCAACGGGAGGTGGTTCTAGTGATCAGAAACCGAGTGTGATGATCCCCTCCGATTATTTGAGTGTGCAGATGACCTCTATTAAACTTAATGGTGAGAATTATGTGCCATGGGCCAAGTCAGTGGAAGTTTTCCTCAAGGTAAAGAGGAAAGTGAAACACGTGAAGGAAGATAAATCATCAGCTGACTCTCCAGGGTTTGATGAGTGGGAACAGGAAGATGCCCAAATCATGACATGGTTATGGAATAGTATGAAACCCAAAATAAGTGCCAACTTTATGTTCTTAGATACAGCTAAGGACATATGGGAACATGCCAAGAAGCTTTATTCTGGGCAGTATAATACTACAAGGGTATATCAGCTCTATCAGGAGTATTTCGATTTGCAGCAAGGGAATAAAACCCTAGAAGAGTACTATGCCAGTATGAAGAACCTCAGAAATGAACTCAATGTCTATCATCCCCTCACTCCAGATGTTAAGGTTCAGCAACAATAGAGGGAACAACTAGATGTCACTAGGTTCTTAGTAGGGTTGAAATCAGAATATGAACCAGTTAGGGCACAAATATTGGGAGGCTCTACACTTCCTACACTTGAGGAAGTTTTTGCACGGCTTAGTAGGATTTCTTTGGGATCTACAGAGAATCCCACATAGTTTGACAGATCAGCATTTTTGATAGCCAGAGGAGGTGGACGTGGTACTAGAGGGGGAGGACATGCCTCCCGAGGAGGTCATGGTGGTTCCGTATTTGGCCGTGGTGGTGGTCATGACTTAGGGGGAGGTCGTGGTAAAGGAAAAAGTAACTCTACAGGGAAGTGTACCCATTGTGGCAGGGATGGGCATTCGGTGAATTTCTATATGATCTCCATGGCCCTCTTTCTACATGGGCTAATCATGCAGTAGCTGGTGGGGTTGATGTCAGTGATAACCAATAGGCAGATCTAACACCTTCCACATTTACATCTGTTTCCGGGAAGGAGATGGTGAGTGTACCGCGCGATGAGTATGAGAGGTTCCTCCAGGCTACTTCACACCATACTACAACCACCCTTGCCCACTCAGGTATAGCTTGTTTGGCATCCAAACCCTCTCCCTGGATTATTGACTCTGGAGCCTCTGATCACATGACCGGGACAGTTGCGTTCTCTTCCTTCTTTGAAACTTCCACATCTCAAACTGGTACCCTTGCCAACGGTTCCTCTTCTCCCATCTGTGGTGTTGGTAATGTTGACACGACTTCTCTTTCTTTATCATTTGTTCTATGTCCCTAAGTTTCCATTCAATCTTATGTCTGTTAGTAAATTAACCAAGACTCTTAATTGCTCTATTACATTTTTACCTTCCTTTTGTGTTTTTCTGGATCTCAAGACGGGGAAGAAGATTGGTGGGGGGCCTGAGGCTGGTGGATTGTATTACCTTGATGGTGGTGGATCGTCAGTTGCACTTCAGACTTCACTTACTCCTCTACAGTGGCATTGTCGACTGGGACATCCATCTCTCAAGGCACTCAAGATACTGGTTCCGTCTTTGAGTCATTTGTCGTCTTTATAGTGTGAGTCGTGTCAGTATGGGAAACATCGTCGGGTTCCCTTCAGTCCTAGAGTTGATAGTCGTATGTTGAGTCCTTTTGCTTTGGTTCATTCAGATGTTTGGGGTCCGATTAAAATAGTCTTATAATGGTTACAAGTATTTTGTCACTTTTATTGATGATTGTTCAAGGATGACATGGATTTATTTAATGAAAAAAAGGAGTGAATTATTTTCCATTTTTCAAAAATTCCATGCTTAAAATCAAAGTTCTTCATTCAGATAACGGTCGTGAATACTTTCTTACTTCCTTTTAACAGTATTTAGAACAACATGGCATCATTCATCAAACTTCATGTGCATCCACTCCTCAACAAAATGGGGTGGCTGAACTAAAGAACTGTCATCTCATTGAAACTGCTTGGTCTATTCTTCATCATATGAGTGTTCCTAAACGATTTTGGAGTGATGTTGTACTTACTGCGTGTTTCCTTATTAATCGGGTGCTCTCCTTCATTCTTCATGGTCGGTCTCCCTTTTCTATTTTGTTCCCCACCTTGTCTCCTTTTCCATTAATAGCCCGCATCTTTGGCTGTGCGTGCTTTGTTCACAATCTGAGTCCTGGGATAGACAAGCTGGATACACGCTCTATTAAGTGTGTCTTTCTTGACTACTCTCGGACTCAAAAAGGGTACAAGTGTTACAATCCCATTACTCGGAAGTGCTATGTCTGTCCTGATGTCACATTTTTTGAGTCTGTCCCCTTCTTCTCGGGACCTGAAGCATTGGTGTCTCGGGACAGACTCAAAAAATGTGAGTCTGTCCCCTTCTAGTCCGTGATCCCGTTCCGGTTGTTCCAGTTGGGGTTGACCCTTCACCTCCTCCAGTGCAGATCCCTACTGAACGACCACCGATCCGGCACGTGTATACTCATCGATAGACATCGGCTCCTCCTCTAGTTTCTACCTTGTCTGTGGATCCTGTTGTTGCTCCTGTC